TTTCGCAGACACGCTGAGGCCATCAGAAAAGGGTTTCGCGCAGTGAACAGTCGATTCTCTGGGGAGAAACATTCAGAACCAACTCAATTATTCATAAACACTCGAGAAGAATGGGTTTGAGGAACCTGGAATTGTGGGTTTCCTAAATAGACGTGAAAATTCGATTTGGTACGCTTGTCAAAGCTCACACAAACATGCACTTGAGCTCTAGAGCGTGGCGCTTTGAGGGATTGAGTTATTTAATTCGAATAAATAAATCAATTGCTATTCTTACAAAAATACACAAACAATACAAATCCCCGTAAAAAGTGAGGCCTTAAAATCCATTCACCACATCAATGGTCTTCTGCGGTCATGGATGGTGAAAAAGGAAACTGCGTGTGAGTTGAGGGGTGAGCAGATTTGAAGTGTTTTGGGGTTCCGACAGCGGTGTTGGCACAGAATTCTTCACCCCTCGGCGGTATTCTTCGTGAGAAATCTCAGAAAGTGTAGGCATAAAAAGAGCTGTTCGACCAATTTATATAACTCTGTGTAGTGTTTCAATCGCGCAGTTCATATGGTCCTTGTTTAGGTGGAGTGATGTTAAATAAGATGATACTCAAAATCTCATTAATTTTGATGCACTTTATGTTATGTCGTTTCATCCCATTCACAATCCAACGCAGTGGCAGTCTGTAATATCTAATTTACCGAACCACAAAATAATATGTTACAATCCACAGAGACATTTGTCATAATTACTGAATGCTTCTTAATTTCCCCCCACGCCGAAATCCTCCAATCCACCGAAGCATCTTCCATTTGATGATCTCCCCATATATGGGATGTCTTTTTTCGGAGACTCAGCCTTTATGAATGTGTTGAGATAATTGGGGTCTAACCTGAGCACTTTTTCCCTTCCTTCTTATTTACTTTTAGATTCCTTTTTGCCTCTTTTTGCCATCACGGATGGGGGAAAAAAACAACAAACTCACACAGTTTCCCCCGAGGAGATGAGGCATTCCAGACCTCCAGTCTCGCTGGGTCAAAGAAGAAATATAAAAATGAATTATAATGACGATGACTTTGCGAATAAGTGCCTTTTGCCTGGGCATCTCTTGTAGATTTTCACAAAACTTTAAATGCTCACTGCGCCTTTTCTCAGGCCTCCGCGAAGCCACCGCGATTGGAGTCAGAAGGAGCGTTGCAAGAGCTTTCGAGACTGTGGGAATTCTTGTTTTACAAGAATCTTAGGGAGCAGATCGCTTCTCTATGTGGAAGTGTAAGTTTAATTTCCAAATTTCTGCTTCAGCCTCAAAATCCACAAAAAGGCTCCATTAAGGCTGCCCAAAGCCTCAGTGCTTCCAACACGCCGTCATTGTGTCTGTTGCGTGGAGCTCATTTATTCCACGATGCCCGTCTCTTGTTCGGATGGAAGAGACGATTCGGCATCAGTCAGGTAATTACGTCAATCCGCCGTCGCGACAGTAAAAGCTAAAATCTCTGAGATTCTCAAAGACCTTTTTTTTACCAATCGCGATAAGGCCAGAATGCATCCATTTGCTTGTAAAACTCACAATTCAGCGATAAGTTGTGCACTTTTGCCAAGAATATTCACGGGAGGTCAGATTTGCGCATGGAATGTACGAAGACACCTTCTTCTTTTATTGCCATTCAAATGCACTATCCCCACGAGAGACTGAGATCTTCTTCTTTGTCTTTTGAAAAGTTGGTTCGACCGTATTGACGGTTGATGGGATATAAAATATGAATATTCAGGTTCTTGCATAAATATTTTTGTTCTTATTTCGATAATAATTAACTCAGCTGCAGACTTTCTCGGCGGTAATTTGTGGGTAGAGTTATTAAATTTAATTAACTCTATAAAGTTTGGTAGTTCTTTCTTCACTCTCCCTCTTTCTAGACGCTCTCAGGACTGCGACCATCTGAAATCAGTCGATAAATATTTCGTGGATGACGAATGCACTCTGCGGCGAAGATCCCTGCATCGCAGCCAACAGTGTTGGCGAACAAAAGAAATAATGTCAAGATCTTTTAATAGACACTGCAGTAAATGCGTGAAGTACTCGGGCAAACAGTTTACTAACCACTCGAGTGGACAAACCATACAAGAATTTTTCTTCTCACACTGTCCACAGGTGTACCCGTCCGGCTTATTATTAATAATTCCATATTATCTCGCTTATTTCTCCTTTTTTCCGCACCATCAGCATTCTTCGGAATGCCATCATCATTAGTTTGTTAATGCTGGCGAGGAGTGGAGTGTGTATGGAATAAAAGGTGCAAGAAACTCGCCATAAGAGACAAAACAACGAGTTGGGGATCCAAAAAGTCTCTCGTCTTCTCTGCGCGTGTTTAATAAGTCTTCAAAGTATAAATACATTACATTTTTGTCTTGGTGGATGCCAACAAAGAGAACACATGTTCTCGGACATTCTTCATTATATAAAACCCTTTTTTCATCTGGCCAGACGCGATGAGCCGAGCGCGCAACTCCTTGTGCCTAAGCCACATGATTCCTGCTGGAATTTCAGACAATGCCTTCGACTCATCCATTAAAATACTTTTAATTGATTCCTCCTTTCGAAAGCCAGCCACGCAGCGACCATTTCTGGTCTCGCGCGACTCCATGGAGAAATATTGCGAATTGCTAATAGACATTGACAGAAATCAATGCACTAGTCGACGGAATCAATCTTGTGCAAAATATTTATGCGTTTCTCGCGGGTTTGCTTGCTTTTGAACACCTGGGTGGCTTTTTCAGCGGTGCCCCAAGAGACCATCCATTCACCACATGCAACCTTCTTCCCCGTTTTGCAAAATGCAAACATCGCGCGCTGCGCAAACAGCCAGAGAATAGCATGGGCAAAAGGAAGACGAGGCAGAGAGCCATGCACTTCACGATTCATCAGTCGTTTCGCACAAAAATACCATATTTTCGAGCTCTCTCCCAACCAGAGATAATCTTTTGGCTTTTTGTAACACGCTTCCATAGAGAATTCGCCGACGGCCAAACGTTGGAAGAATTATGACTTTGGTTTCGAATTCCATCTGCCCGTGTCTTGGGCTTGAAATTTGATCCACTGCACAATGCACCTTCTAATATAGTTATAAAACAGGCGAATTGTCTGCTATTCACCGCTCCTCCAGCTAATATATTATGTACACCGTCGAATTTGCTCTTTTTACACTCCTCATTTAGCATATTAGGCTGCCTCTTTTCGGTGGTTTCTCTGCATACTGCCTTAAATACGGGAAATCGCAATCTTCCTCTTAATGCGTGAGAACAAGATCTTGAGAGAAAATGTATTTTTGAAGGGTAAGTTTGGTGAACTAGATATTTAGCGTAAATTTCTGAAATGATTTCTTCTCAAATGATTTCTGTGTTACGCGTAAAAAATAAACACTTATCAGCCAACTACTACCGACGATTGGCAACTTAAGTATGCCCATTGATGAGCAATAGTTGAATAAGGAGGAAAGAAGAATGAGAAATTCCCAGTGGTAATTCTGCCCTAAACCAATTCTCCATGGGCGGCCCAAAACGTACTGCGATATATAGAAATATATATCATGAAGATGTGCTTTGCGGTCTTCTTTTCATATCTTCCATGGCGTATTTCAGTCTTGATTGAATATAACCATTTTCAGCCTCCTTCCTTTTGGCCTCTCAAGCACGTGATTGTGTCAATTATTCACGGGTACTTCACAAATCAATCAGGATGGTTGCCCGAGAATAGAAGGGGTTCGGCTCTCATTGGCCGGACTGGGAAGAGACGGTCTTCGCTGGCGTTTTGGTCCTTGATCTCCGGGTGACAAGGAATTACTGAATGGTGAGGTGTAACATGGGAACTCGTTAAAATCTGCAAAATCCGTGGGGGCTATTTTATTGGAATTCCACAGCAGAAGACAAGACGGTCTCTTATTCTCTGCGTATTTGGATGACTTAAGAGGCTGATCCGGCGAAGTAATATATCTTCTCAGGCCCGATAATGGGACATTTGTTATGGAATCTCAACTGAAGATTTGTTTTAATTGATCCAGCATTATTTGTTCTATCGCCCAGAATGATTTATGGACTCTCAGCTTTTTGACGGAGACGAAAGGAGCAGAGTTGCTCACAGAAATAAATTTGTGACGATTGATCATACACAAAATGTTGAATAATATCCATCAATAGACTCGATAGATAAGACGCCCGAAATAAATGACTCTTCACTCCGCTTAGGACCTCCCAATAGGGCAAATGTGGAAGACAATTCTCACTGCCAGCAAGTATTTATCTGGCAGAGCCATCTTTGTAAATTGCTACTTATAAGGGACGATCTTTCTGAATTACTTTAAAGCATTTCCGACAGGAGGAAAGCAAAAAGTCATGGGGATCGAGAGCAAAAACATATCCCGGCAGAGGTGAGGTATTAGAAACCACACATTTCGACGTGGAAGAAACACGTAAATTGGCATTTCTTCCTCCTGCTAGCTAACAAGGAGGAAACACACAATTTTCTGCCTTCGCCAGGGACAATTTTTCTGCACAAGAGCGACGTTATCTGAGGTTTCCATCGCAGATGAAACAGGCCACAGCATGACGTTCCCGAAGATTTCCGTCTTTGATCTAGATTTAAACTCCAGGGGAAGATGAAGGAAAGAGAAGAGGCACAGTAAAATGTTTCTGCAGCAAATTCTGCACTTTGTAGCAGATTTTTTGTGTGTGGCACATGTTCATTTGGGTCTCTCCTCTTGCAGTTCAATTTAGTCCGCACTAATCTCATTTAATAATTTATTATTCCTCCTCGACTTGGCTTTTTATGTTGCCTGCTACAGAGATCATTTTGAACCATGACGAAGCCGTTTTTGTTCGAAATTTCCTGTACTCAATGAATGTTTGCCCAGAGTATTTAATATTAAACTTACCTTCACAAATATCTAGATCCAGATCTCAAACTATTCCACCCGTGGAATCTCGAAGTGAGGATATCAAAAACCAAAAAGCCGATATGTATTGTTTTTTTTGTTTTTTAATCTTCATCAATATTCATCAAATTTTTATACATACATCATGTTATAAAATCGTATTTATACTTGTTGGCTTGTCCATTAAGAAGCTTGTTGTTTTATGTATATACAAAATTATACAGTGCCATCAGATTAAGCTAAGAATTCATTTCATTAAATTATATGAAACCCCATTGTGACATGGATGTTTGCAAGTAGTATTTACTTTGCTAGAAATACTTGTTAGATATCCTATCGAATATATCAATCTAAGAACTAAAATTTCTCTGAAATTTAACACCTATGGCATATTTAATTCAACTACTTCATCTTATTATTTGCTGAAATAAATATTGTTTCTGCATTCTTCATGTCGAGAAATCCTTATCCAGGTACTACACAATAGTATAACAAATATATTACACAAATTTTACACGCTCTGTGTCAACATCATCCCTTCGAACTTGTATTTGCATTGAAGATCTCGATGGAGGGCGAATGGAAAGCATGCTCACACAACTATTGACTATGACACTTATCGCTTAGTAGAGTTGAATTGCATTTTATGATAACATAATGTAGAAGTGAGTAGGAAGGCATACACCGTGCACGGTGCACTTGACTCTACTCAATGCGTGTAAGAAATGCTGCGAAATTTTCACAGAGGTTGCGAGAGTTCTTTGTAAAAGAAAAAGATAAAGATGAGGAACGTCTATCTGGGTGTGCGTCAGTCAAGCAAAACGGCTTCGCTTAGAAGTTAAACTCATCGGCATCCGCAGCCCACCACCGTCATGTCCTGGTAGTTCTTCAGCACCACCTTGTTGTGGTCGTCCAGGTAGAGCATGGAGATGGAGGCGAGCTGCGTGGGGATGCAGCATGCTTTGGGCGCGAGGCTGGGGTTCAGTGAGTTGACTAACGTCTGAACGACAGCGTGATTTGTGGAGTTGAGATGGTCGGGAATCGGGAACGTGCACTCCCCGTGACAGTAGTACGCGTCGTACCCGGGCGGCGCCACGATCCAATCATTCCAGCCCACGTCGCCGAAGTCCACGTACAGGGCTCGCCGCTGGCAGATCTCGTGCACGTTTTTCCTGCGATGGCCCCGTCGCAGGCTCGCCCGGCGCGATCGGTTCACATCCCGGATCGACCGCGGCTTGTTCCGGCCGTCGTCTGTGTAGGCGAACAGCATGGGCTGCTGCTGCTCCCAGTCCTTCAGGTCGTCGCTGACGCTCCGCTTTAGGCGGATGTGCCTGTGAACCGGACCTTCGGCCTGACTCCGGCCGGCCGAGTCCACATGGACGAGTAGTCCATGGTTATGCTTTGGTTGACGCAACCACCTCTGAACGGCCGGCAGCACGTCCAGGCTGACGGTGCCAGTGCCGTTGATCAGCACTGTCTTCGAGTCTATGAGGAGGAAGATGGGATCGCGCTTGCCCTTGATCCCAGGCCTCAGGATGTCGAACACAAGGACCTGGTGCCTCACATTCGTCTCCCCCTCGACAACTGAACTCCGACTGAGTGTCAGTTCCGCCGCCTTCAATTCCTCACGCTGTGGTATTGTGGACACGTTGAAATAGAGCCGAAATCGGTGATGATGCAGGAATCTATTATCAATTTTACTATCTGCAAAGACAGATCAACACGGGCAAAGATTACGGATTTGGGCAACATACACTCTGGCTTTCTCGTCATCTTCGGAAAGCGGCAGAGTAAATAGGAAATTTAACAGGATGAAATCATAAAAAACAAGTTCATGTGACACAAGAAAATGACTTTCAAATATTTACTCAGCGAGTACCTTCGAGTTGGAGGTTCAAAAAGAAGTTTAGCAGTGACAAATATTGACTCTCTGTACTTGCATATAGAGACACATTCTACTGGACTTGATAACTGCTTCCTCTGTTCTTCATTGTTAACACGAGTGTGCGCAACAAAGGCGAAATTGTTCTCCAGAACTTCTCATTAATAAACTTATGGTGATAAGTTGGTTTGAATTTATGAATGGTATCATCACAGGTATTTCATAATATGTGAAATCTCTGCCACGCAGACACAAAATTGATGCTTTTCAAAAGTATGTTTACAGAATCCGTCAAAGGGGAATACAATAAGCAAGATCTCCCAGAATTTTACATAAACACTCCGCAATAAATAAACACTTCAATCTGGGATAGTGTGCTGGCTTTTTGCAATTTCGCGAAATCCCCGCATGCACGAATTGCCAACAAGAGAAAAAAAAGTTAATGTGGAAAATTTCTTGTTGCCGGAAAATTTCCCAGAAGTTATCTTAGGTTTTTTTCCGCGCGCCACCTCGTAAATTGTCGATCATTTGAAGTGTCTTCAAGAGAGTCCTGGGGCCGTGGCGCCCGCGTCTTTGGCGTCTAGATAGTGTTCTCTAAACAAATCTGAGATTCCCCGTATGTTCGGCAATTAGCCTAAACAATTCTGTGTGTCTAGATTACTCAGAGAAAACCCCCAACAATGCCAACCCTACTCAATATCAGAAATAGACTCACCTTCGTGTGTAAAACTTCGAACAGTGTTCGCTGATTTGGAGTGCAATCCAGGCTTTGGTATATTCACGGAGTCCACATCATGGCCAGTGATCTCGGCGTAGAGTTTCTTCATGGCTTCCGGGATCACTATTTTAGATCTGTCCACAATTGGCCTCTTATTGAGACCGAATAGGGAGAGGAAGTTCCCCTCCAGGCCGGCCAGTATGGCCGGATCGGGCTTCTCTGGCTTCTCCTTCTGCTCCTTGTTCGCCTCCTCTCGCGTGTCCTGACTGTGACTCTTCCTCTCACTATGCCTATGTAACACTTTCTCTGTGGAGGTAGTTAGGGATGACAGGAGTGACACTTCAGGGTTGCTCTGTGGCTCCGTGCTAGCAACTTGGGCAAACGGTTGAGAAGTCGCCAGCACTGCGATGACGAGAAGCCACGCGCGCATGGTCGCTCGCAACTCTGGAAAAAAGGACGAGAAAGAGAGTTGAAAAATAGAGAAAATTGTAGAAAATTACTAGCTCTAGAACTAAAGATTGATTTCAATTTCGACAGCCACTGTGAAAATATTACGATCTCTCCTAGTTCATTCAATTTACCGTCGGAAGAATATTTTCAGTGAAATAAAGTCTTTTGCCCTTTGCGATAGTCATCCGACTCAAATGACCCAGCAAAGAGATGCAAAATGCCTCATTCGGATTGAGTCAAAAATTCGTTATAATCATAAAAAGCCGGCTTTAGAAAGTCATAATTCGAAGGTTATCAGCAGAGTTATCAGGGGGTGAGCAATTATTATGAAGACTTCTTAGGGCTCTTAGGAATATTTCTCTCTCAGTCTCCTCGCTTCAATAGAAAAAGAGAGACGAGAGACATAAGCTACCTCTTTTATTGCCCAATTTTTGCCTCTTATGTACCTGCAAGTCCCTGATTGCCCTCTTAAGGGTCATATTTTATTGCACGACGATCCTAAAGAGGATAATAACTCCTGAAGTGCTCAGGAGGGAATGGAATATTTTACACCTTCGCTTAGAAAGGTGAAGTACCTCAAATAATACCGTGACAAATAGAAGGATTGCTTATGTCACCTTTCTGTTCTAAAAGCTGTAAACATTCAACTCAGAGCAACAGCGCTTTTTTTTGTTGTTATTATTCAGGGCTCGCCAACGCAAATTTTCCAATATAAATACAACTTGTGAAATAGTCTTGTGAAAAAGAAAGCCGAGCATTTGTCAACGCCACCAAAATCAAGGATTACAACATTTTCTCACAGTGGAAACACTTGAATTTGTGGTGAAAATGTCGCACAAATATTATTGAATTAATATTATATTGGTCTTGCATGGTGGAATTGCAAAATTATCTCTTGCAAATTAACACGAACAGTTCCAATATGCAGGAAATAAAGTGTTTCCAACACTCGTACTATCGCTCTGAAAACTACTCAACTGTTGTTTCAGGTGTTGAGACACTTTATAAATAAGTTGGGCAATAAATTTCCTATATAAAATTATCGATACGAATATCCAACCGTGATGGAAAAATCACTTGAATAAATAGATTGTCGATAGAAGAAAAGAATGGTGTTTCAGTCTGTCCTAAAGTGTCACCGAAATTAAACGTTTTGAGCGTGTTTCTTTGAGATGTTTGCAATCTTGTGTACATATGTCGATATGCATGTACGTTATTTTTGTGGTAATGAGGGCAATTTTGAGGAAGATTTGTTCCAAAAAGCGGTCAAATATTAGTCCAGATATAGAAGGCAACATGAAAGTGAAGTCCTCATAAATCCTCAGCAGGAGATACAGGTATGTTTTTACCTTTTTTTTTACCGGTCTAGAGACAAAAAGAAGACGTTTTCAGTGGGCAGGAAATGCGTAAATGATGAAAAAGCCCGCATATTTAGTACATTTAACAATGGGACTGAAAACACTTTGATAAAATTGATATTTGAACAGATGCAAGAGTAAATTCAAAAATTTCGAACCTTCTCAAAAATCGTTCAGTGATTTTTTCTTTACCAAATTTCACTTCTTTTTGTTTCAGCAAAGGTTCGATTTATGAGGCGAACATGGACAACATCAAGGACCACACAAGAGTGCATCTGCTTTCGACCATATTCAAGGTGCATTTGAGAGGCAATAAATAATTCTTACCCAGATATTTGAGGGGAAAAAAAACTTTTTATCTCCTACTAAAGGCCACTTTATGTGTTTGTAATCCTTGTCTCAGTGAGCTTTTCAGCAAAGTTTTTGCTCTGAATTGCATTTGAGCGTATGTTTTGTCACGCACAATCACTGAAAAACACTTCTCCGAAGCACTTTGTGGTTTGTCTTTGAAAAATATCCACAATTTCTCAGCTAGAACACTCCAGTGCTGTTGAATGCTAATTGACAAGTGTCCACTAAATTAACACTGCATCTGGAGTGAGATTCCATGGGATTGTGCGCTGGTCGAAAATTGCCCACTTGTGTGTACATCCAATGAGTTAGACAAGCTGCAGATGACTGGTTCAAATAATACTGGGACGTCGGTTATGACGTACCAAGATCACGAAACCGACTGTCTGTCTGCGGCCTCAGCTAACACACCAAGCGCTGACTAACTAATGAATAGTTTGCCGTGTCGCTCTCATGTGGTTTATTTTCTACCAATTCACCAAGATCTCCCCGTACAATATTATTGGTCGTTGTGCCCACCCATACACATGCAGGAACATTTGTTCCTCTTTCCACGATCATTTTCAACCTTTATCGGTCCCAGGTAGACTTCACGACGAATCGGTAATGGATGGCAGTTCCTTTGCATGCCGCACCGGCTGTACGTGTGTGAGTCACTCTCTTCGGGCGCACAAGAGGCCAGCATCCAAGTCAAAATAGAGATGCAAAGACAGAGAAGAGAGATCTCTCCTCATGTATCTAATGTGATTTGTGTCCAAAACAACCGCCAAGGATAAACTCCTCCTGTTCCCATGCCCATGGCATTGCGGCCAATCAGAGCCGCGTTGGTATGCTTATTCTTATCTTTTTTTCTCCACTCCGTCTTCCCAATTTATCCACGCTATTGTGTACCTTTTTTCCCCATTCTTTTCACCTCTCCACACACCATAGCACACACCCAATTGTCTCCAGAGAGACTCCCGGTGCAGTCGTGCACTGTGCAGCAGCGGCCCAACCGTGGCACTGCCTGTGGCTTTTCCCTAAAAGACACCCACTTGAGAGCTCTAAATTGTGTGTCTAAGCTTGCCCTTGCAGATTCTCAGAAAAGGCAGCACACTTGAGCAAATTGCCACTCAAGCACTTGACAATCTCTTTTCGGTCCCTCAAGACGGCCACAGTGACATTGCAACTTCGAGACCCTTGGCAGTTTCGGTGCACAGAAATTGATTTCTTCTTCTAGGATTGAAAAAGAATTGCTCTCCTCTTTGCACTCTGCAGCTTTGTGGGATTGCAGCTTTTCTGGAGCATTTGAAGCTCGTTAATTGCAATGCAGCGCAAGAAATCCAGTGACAGAGACTCAATGGATGGACGTGCAGAATGGTATGAAGAGCAGCGATGGCGAGGCGATACAGAAAGTGAACTGCATCGCCACAAACCGGCCAGTTCTTAATAATATTAATGTTATTCCAATCACATTGGTATTTAATTGTGACAACCGTTGTTTTTTCTGCGTGCGCCCGTGTGCTCCGTACGTGGCATTTATTTTCAATGAGATTTACATCCACACAGAATACGCAGTTCTGCGTGCCATCCATAAATTTCAGCGCCAGTCAGGATACACCCAGCCTCTAAGCACACACGCTAATATTGTCCCCCTCGATTGGGGTTCTTACGTGGCAAAATCTTGGACAAAATGATATTTATGCTGCGCTCCTCTCTTTGGCACATACATACATTATATTGTTGCACTTATGTGGATATACATTTATGTAGTCATTCATTCTTATAAAGCACACTTGATATTGGCGCTTGCGATATAAATAATCTTGTAGACGGGTGTTTATTATACTATGAAGCCTGTCCGCACAAAATTAATTCAATCGCTCTGGCTCGAAACGTTCACCTTATAGTGGCTATAAATCATAAATTTTCAGCTCTTTATAATAAGTTCTCGTAAATTGATTCATGATCACAAATTTATTTCACATATTTTTTAGACATTTGCATGAAGGTGTACATACTTTGAGTCAATGCAAAAGAAGCCATAATGTGATAAATAAGGTCACATCGCGATGTTGTTGTTTACATAAAACCGCACAGCTTTTTTAATCACTAAAATATAGATTATCTTGTTTATTAATTGTCCACACTCTTTGATAGTTGTGCGTGAAAGTTTCGTCAATGTTGAGCAATTAAAGGGTCATTAAAGCCATTAAAGTGTTTCATCTTTTTCTCACCTCATAGAAATTTATTGAGTGTTAAATTTGGTGATTTTTATTCAAACAACTTGTGAATATGCAGAGAGAAATTAGAGGGTTTCTGACATCTCTCATGTAATGGTTGTTTTGGGAAAGATCTCGAAGCCTTGCAAAGGCTCTAACATGACCAGAGAAGGTCAAAAAAATTGTAAACCTGAACATGGGTTAAAAACAAATAGACAGACTCCAGCTGAAAACGTGATCATGGAATAGAGAACGAGACCAATAATGTGGCACAGCATTTGTTTACACGAAAATCTCACACAATTTCTGTGAGCCTCGCAGCTCCCATTCAAACACTAACAACTCTTGCGTCCGGAGAAGGTCACCCACAATCGATTCACGCACCACCAGATCCACTCATAACAGTAATCATAAAGCTTTCATTGCTGCCGTATAATTCTTCGTGCTCCCGGAGCCTGTTTACATGATCCAGGAACCGCGAAAAACCGCCTGACACGAGCACGTGGCACATATGGGAGCAATAAAGTGCACTCTCTAATGGCCTAAACTCTCTCAATCACATAAATGGAAAATGACTTTTCGAGCCATTCTCGCGCTGTGTGATCTCAGTGATCTCCTAATGAATGTCTTGTAGCCGTGCATCTGAACGATTCAAGTGCGAAGAGCATAATGAGAAAAGGAAATCATTTAATTTCTACCTCATTAAATAATTAAATCGAGATCTCACTCTCGTTCCATCCCTTGCAACTCCTTGCCCATGAATGTGCATGTTGACGATATTAATGGGCATTTTGTGAGTGGAATGGAAAGGCTCACAAGTGAAATATTGATGCAGAAGCAGACGCTATTCCAAGTCAAACAATCACAAATGTATCGATTCCCGAAAGTCAATAAGGATGTTAGCGTCGCACTTGGAGAATAAATGAACATCATTGTTTACTTAAAGCACAAAAAGTGGCAAATCTAATCTGTCACTTAAAGCGTTTGTGGTTCCTGTGAACTATTTACAGTGCAGACAATTCACGAACGTTTTTTGACACAGATTTTGATCGAAATCAATCGATAAACAGAGTGTGATAAAATC